TGCAATGATCAAAAGTGAACCCAGGTCTCCCACATGGGAGGAGAGAATTCTACCACTGAACCACCAACGCTGACTCTCTAGAGTAGGTCATGTTATAAATGCTCATAGCATCTTGTGCATCTTTTAAATAGCACTGATCATAATTGTAATTGAATAAGGATGGGCTAGTTAATTGTATGACTTCTTTTTCTCTGGCTAGAAAGTAAAACCACTGAGGCAGAATAAGTGCTCAATAGACATTACCTAAAAGAATGAATGAATGGAGATGTATGAAGATACAGCCATATATGCCCCAGGCAAGGACAATGTGGAGTTTCCCTGTTAGCTGTAGATTATCCATTCTGTCTCGTGTTGACATGTCTCTTATAAGCAAATTCACTAACTGCTAGGTGAAATTAGCATAGTAAGTGCAAAAAGGATATGGGGGAAGCATCTTCTGACCTCCTCCAACCTCACAAGGGGGAGACAGAATCAGCAGCAGCAGCCTAAGCCTTATTCCTATGAGACCAGACATCCCACCACCTTTCAACTTATTTACCAGTTCTGACACCAATCATTCCTCTCACTGTACTCACTTACCTTCTCTGCTGGGTTCGATAATTTGTTGCAACGGCCACACAGAACTCACAGACAATACTCATGATTATGGGGTTGTTTTTAGGGAAGTAATAGAATACAATTCAGGTTCAGGAACATTCTCAGGATACAATTCTTCCATCAGGACAGCCTCCCTTCTGCTATGCCCTCAGACATACCTCACTGACCCTTGGCCTCTGCCCTACTCCGACAAGTGTTACAAAGGTCTTTTAGCTCTGCCGATAGTACACCTAGGTGCATCCCACTCTGCCAGCAAGACTCCTGCCCAAGGGCACACAGCTTTCTCACTCCATGGGCTGGCAAGGCTGCTCCTCTGCTTGCCTCCACTGCCACCAGGTCACTGCCAGTCATCTCTGCTGTCTTTCTGCTAAGGGGGTCCAGTGCAGAGATCTCAAGTTCAAGGATGTGCTCTATTCTATCTCCAGCTCTTTTCTCTTGATGGCAGTGGCATCCCCCCTTCTGTCTCTTTGTTGTTGTTGTTGTTGTGTGCCGTCAAGTCAGCCCCGACTCATAGCGATCCCGCCTTGGGTTGCCGAGACAGTATCACTATGGAAGTAGATTGCCCAATCTTCCTTCCGAGGAGTGGCTGGTGGGTTTGAACTGCCAGCCTTCTGTCTCTAGTGGGGCTCATTTTAAGCCTAGCAGAATGACAAAACTAACCAATCCTCACATTAGAATTCTATACATCTTATTTGCATGGCCCCATTCCCACAATGTCCATGTACCTTATTCACATTACTACTTGTGGTAGGCCACAAGCACCTTATATTTGCATAGTACCACCCAGTCATCTGGTGGGAGTCACAAAGACCAAGCCTGGAAGAGCCATACCAAGTAATTCACTGCACCACTGTAAAGCTCACTAAACCCAAAAATCAATTACAACAAGCAAGTAACATTTAAATAAACAATTAAAATATATTCATTGGATCCATCAACAGATGAATGGATAAACAAAATGTGGTACGTATATCAATGGAATATTACTCAGCCATAAAGAGAAATGAAGTCCTGGTACATGCTACAACATGGATGAACCTAGAAAACATTATGCTGAGTGAACTAAGTCAATCACAAAAGGACTAATATTGTAAGATTTCACTTATATCAGATATCTAGAATAGGGAACCATATACAGACCTAGGGAACTCTGGTGGCTTAGGACCTAAGTCATTTGACAGCTAACCAGAAGGCTGGCGGTTCAAACCACCAGCCACGCCTTGGAAGGAACGTTGGGCAATCTACTTCCATAGAGATACTGCCTTGGAAACCCAAGAAGGGGTCACTATGAGTCAGATGAGACTCAACGGCAGTGAGTTTGGTTTGGTTTCGTATACAGACCTAGGTAGGTTAGTGGTTAGGAAGGGATGATGAGAGGGAGGTGGAAAGGGGGTCCCATTGTTTAGGGGTCACTGAGCTTGTTAGGGGTGATGGATAAACTTGGAAATGGATAATGGTGATAGCTGCTCCACACAAACACAAGTCAGTCATTGACTTGTACATGTAAATGATGTTGAGATGGCAAATGTGCTTTTACGTATTTATGTATTTACTACATACAATAAAATAAAAATACATAAAAGCACATTGAGTTGGATATGAGGCATAAAAAAATAAGAAGAAATCTTTCAGTTGTTGAAACAAAAAAGAGGATGACACAATTCAACCTTAAATGGTAAACCAAAAGAATTCCTGGGGATTGAAAGAATAGTACTATACTATTTATCCTTGATAATACCCATGGCCAAATAAATTTGACAAAAGAAGCAGACACATCTAAAATGGTTTTTATAACTTTCTTGTTCACTTTTATGTGATTTAAAATGCGACATAATATTTTTATGCTTTTGGATGAGAATTTAACTATTGGCTTCAGAGGAGCATATAAAAGCCTTCCTGTTTGAGAATAAATTGATTTGCTGGGAATGGAGTCATGGAACACATGTTTTTGTTAGTGAGGACCACAGGAAAGAGGAGTCAGTCAGAAGTGGCAGTACCTGGCTCGGCAGATGTACAGGTCGTAGGAAATCAGAAGTCTGGCTCTACCAGCAGTATTTTGGTGACTTATCCTCTAAGCCTGGGAAAGTGACTTGGAACTGTCTTCTTGTTCTGGTTCACACAGATAGCATCACAAAATTGTGCTGGAAGGACAATAATGAAACAAAGCCTTTCATAAAATCAGTCCTGTAAATTTCACACATGAACAATGCAAACAGTTGTAGAAGACTTTGGGCATCTTGCCTAAAAAGAGCTTTTATTACTGGTGCTATATTGTTCATGGTTTCAGGGACGGTTATCTCCAAAGATTGCATCTTTTTTTAAAAAAGTCCTTATACAACTGGTTTTTGTCTTGCTTTTAAAGACCACATTAAACTATTCAGTACAAAAGTGGCCACCGCACTTCCCAGTTGAAGCCAACTCTCAGGTCTGGCAGACAAGTTCCTTGCCAATTATGGGTTATTTTCAGCCTTTCTCATTTTCCATCCCAGGGCCATTTGGCTCATTCTTGATTTTGATTAGAGAGTTGGGGAGTGGAACTAACGAATAGTCCATAAGGGCAAACATTTCTCCAGTCTCTGGGAAAAACTTTTATGGTGGTCGGTCTACTGCGCCAACCACAAGTCTTTGAGACCAAAGAAAGAGTTTAAATGCCCTGAAAATATTGCTTCCTCTCTCAGTTCCTTCATCTGTGGGATGGTCATACTATTATCTTCTGTATTAGTCAGCTTCACAGAGTTTCCTAAAACAGCCAAACTCACTGCCATTGAGTTGATTCTGACTTGGGAGTGTCTAAGTGCCTATCGACTCTATGTACCATTAGGACTACATATGATAAACATTACTGTTATAGTATTATCATTTATAATAAAACCCAAAAAACTCACTGCCATCGAGTCAGATCTGACTCATAGTATCCCCTCCTTGGGTTTCTGAGGTGGTATCACTAAGGAAGTAGATTGCCCAATCTTCCTTCCGAGGAGTGGCTGGTGGGTTTGAACCACTATCCTTCTGGTTAGCAGTCAAATGCCTTAGGCACTACGCCACCAGAGCTCCTTTTATTATAATAGTAATGCTATATTATGTAATAATATCATAATGTAAGTAGTAATATCATATTACAAAACCAAAAACCAGACTCACTGCCGTCAAGTCGGCTCCGACTCATAGCAACCCCTCCTTGGGTTTCTGAGACACTATCGCTACGGAAGTAGATTGCCCCATCTTCCTTCCGAGGAGTGACTGATGGGTTTAAACTGCTAGCCTTATGGTTAGCCTTAGGCACTACACCACTAGAGCTCCCATACCATATTACAGTACATCATCACTATTGGAGTCACTGGTGGTACAAAGAGTTAACATCCTTGGCCGCTGACAGAAAGGCTGGAGGTTCAAGTCCACCCAGAGGTGCGTCAGAAGAAACGCCTGATGATCTACTTCTGCAGTCACTGAAAACCCTACAGAGCACTGTTCACTCTGATACACATGGGGTCATCATGAGTCAGAGCTGACTTGACTTCAATCGAATATTATTATGTTATTGTTGTTACCTGTTCTCGAGTCAGTTCCAACTCATAGTGACCTCATGTCACTGCCTGGTCCTGCACAATCGTTGCCATGCTTGCACCCATTGTTGCAGCCACTGTGTCAATCCATCTCCTTGAGGTTCTTCCTGTTTTTCACCGACCAACTACTTTACTAAGCATGATGTCCTTCTCCAGGGACTGGTCCCTCCTAATAACCTGTACAAAGTATAAGAGGCAAAGTCTCACCATCCTTGCTTCTAAGGAGCATCCTGGCTGCACTTCTTCCAAGACAGATTTGTTCATTCTTCTGGCAGTCCATGGTATCTTCTTTGCCAACACCACATCACAAAGGCATCAACTCTTTTGCAGTCATTCTTATTCGTTGTCCAGCACTCACATGCATATGAGGTGACTGAAAAGATCATGGTTGGGTTAGGCGCACCTTAGTCTTCAAAGTGACCTCTTTGCTCTTTAACACTCTAAAGAGGTCTTTTGCAGCAGAGTTGCCCAATGCAATACATCATTTGATTTCCTGACTGCTGCTTCCATGGGTGTTAACTGTGGATCCAAGTAATATGAAATCCTTGACAATTTCAGTTATTACTATAGTAAAAAATAAGCATAAATAATAATAATAATAATGAAAGATGGTAAAAGGACTGGTACTATTGACATTTGAGGCTGGATAACTCTTTGCAGAGGGATGTCCTGTGCCCTTAGGATGTTCAGCAGCATCCCTGGCCTCTACCCACCAGATGCCAGTAGCACCCTTCCTTACCCCTAGTTGCGACACCCAAAAATGTCTCCAAGTGCTCCCTGGTGGCAGCGAAATTGCCTCCCCACCACTGCTCCAAATTAAAAGCTGAGCTCACTCTGCACCTGAAAGCTGATGCTGCCCACGGGCAGGTAGCTGTGGTCCTCCAGCATGCTCAGGTACTCAGCCACCAGGGCAGCTGCATGCACCAGGCACATGGCGGCCTCCGTGTAGCACCTCCTCTTGGTGTGCTTCTCTGCCATGTTCTGCAGCCAGGTCAGCTGCAGGTCAGCAGAAGTCTGGTAGCTCTTGGCAATTCTGAAGAGACGGTGAAAAAGAGATTCAAGGACAACCAGTCTGTGACACTGTTATTCTACCAGGCGGGGGCCACTTTTTCCCATGAGTCTTCCCCCACTCAAGAATTTTGCTACATATTTGAAAAATGAGAGAAAAGGCAAACATTTATCAACGCAGCTATTTTCATGCCATGTCTAGGGTGAGCTGGAGCCTACAAAAACACATTTAGTGAAAATTCATAGCAGCCCTGGTGACGCAATGGTTAGGCACTCGGCTGCCAACCAAAAGTTATGCAGTTTGAACCCACCAGCAGGTCCGTGGGAGAAAGACCTGGTGATCTGCTCCCATAAAGATGACAGCCTATAAAACCATATGGGGCAGTCACATGGGGTCACATGGGGTCCTTTTGAGTTGAAATTTACTGAATGGTTCAAAACAACAACAACAAAAAACTTTATGGGAAAAAAGACCTGATAGATGGATTTCTTTTCATTCCTTTCTCTCAAAATAACAACAGAAAACAAAAGTATTTCCCTTCTTACGATGCACATCAGGACTATTCTTCCTCTATAGTTTCTCCTGAACCAGGACCTTGAAGCTGGGTTTTATACTACAGAGTACATGATTGCTAAAGTAAACTATGCAGCCATGTTAGGATATGATTGGAACAAAACCACCTGGGTGTACTGCGTAACAATTGATCATTTTTTCTCTCACTCTCTGGGAGGTAGAAGATAAACTAGTTGTCAGGGAGTCGACCGACTGATGGTGGCCCCGTGTGTGTCAGAGCAGAGCTGTGCTCCGCAGTGTTCAATGGCTGAAGTTTTAGAAACCGACTGCCAGGCCTTTCCTCTGTGGTGCCTCTGGGTGGACTCAAACTGCCAATCTTCTGGTTAGCAGTCAAACACATTCACTATTTACACCACCCAGGAATCCAAACAGTAGAAGACACTCCTACAAAATAGGTTCCTCACTTTGAATTAGGGGGATGGTTTTGAAAGCTTATAGATGGGTCTACGAACTCTGAGTGTTTAATTTCTATTAACTTCTACTGGCTGTCATCCAAAACAGTGTATCCACATTGCCCGTGAACATCACATTAGTAAGGACTCCAGAGTGACAAATCCTAGACCCTCCAGTGAGCCCCTTTTGATTTTTCCAGAAAAGCTTACCTGTACATGAGGTCCATAAGCATCTCAGGATCTTCCTGAAATTCCTTCATTTTCACCATGTCATATAAAATGCTATTCAGATTGCACAGAAGCTTCTCCACCAGCGAAAAAGCAGAAGTACTCAATGATCGTGGCTTCACGGTCCATGTAAGGAGTTTGTATATCACTGGAAGTGCAAGCAGATAGCAGAGAGCTGAGCAGCAGGGCGTCTAGACCAGAATCTCCTGGCCTTCATCTTCGCCAGGCCACATGCTTCTGAGGCCCAGGTGTGAGTCAGCCCTTGGGATCTATGAATTAGCCCTAAATCCTCATGTCTCCCTCTCCACCTCATTCTGGTTTAAACTAGGTTCAGTTATTTCCAGACTGAACAGCGCTACACCCTACACTGGTGTATCAGGGCTTCTTACTACCAAGTAGGAGGTAGTTGGGGACCTCGGCTTAAGTCCCAAGTCTCAGGAGCTTCCTGGATGTTCCCCCTGACTCAAGAGTTTTGAAAACTTGCTACCACTTGTTCTGAATGACAAAAGCCAACTGAGAAGTGGCCAGGGGAGCCTGAAGCACGGAGGACAGGTAACTCTGGCTGGGTCTGGGTCTGCAGACCCTGACAAGGGTTCAGCTGCAGAATCTTTGTCCTGCCCTTCTCTGCACCAGCTTCCTGGGGCTTCCTAACATTCCACCACTAGATTCCTTGCATTGGGGCCAGGCATTGAAGACCTCCATTAAACTGTCTGTATTTTGCTGAGCCTCCTTGCTGGAGAGTTGTTGTTGTATTGTTGTTGTTATGTGCCATCAAGTCAGCTCCGACTCATAGCGACCCCTCCTTGGGTTTCTGAGGCAGTATCACTACGGAAGTAGGATTGCCCAACCTTCCTTCCGAGGAGTGGCTGATGGGTATCTCTGCATAAATAATGAGGTTACAAAGAGTGGGGTTGAGATGAAAGGGAAGAGAAGAAGAGAGGAGAAAGATTCTGAGAAGGAGGATGCAACACTGCAGAGGACAGGACAGGACAGACTCTGAGCAGACAGTGCTCTCAGACCGCAGTAAGGAAGAAAAGCACTCAGACATTCATTCAGTACACACTTAATTGAGAGCCTTCCATATAGGAGGCTCTAGGTTGGAAGCTCTGGTGGTATAGTGGGTAAGGCATTTGGCTGCTAACCAGAAGGTTGGCTGTTCAAACCTACCAGTTGCTCTGTGAGAGGAAGATGAGGGAATCTACTTTTGTAAAGATTTATAGTCTTTGAAACCCTATGAGTTGGAATTGACTTGATGGCAGTGTGTTGCGTTTAGTTAGATTAGGAACTGCAGTTGAAAGAGAAATGAGACATGCTAGAACCCTGTCAGGCATTGTAATAGAGATGAAAGAGATTACTGTCTCACAAATTTCCAAGGGGCCCTGGTAGAACAATAGTTAAGCGCTTGGTTAACGTCAGCAGTTCAATCCTTCCCGTGGCTCTGGGGGAGAAAGACCTGGTGATCTGTTCCTATAAAGATCATAGTCTAGGAAACCCCATGGGGCAGTTTCACTCTGTCCTGTAGGGTCACTATGAGTCAGAATTGACTCAACAGCACCTAACAACAGCAACAGCAACAACTCTCTGACTCGGCCCTTCCTTATATTCAGTACTCCCACCAGTCCAGGTGGTCCCTTTCCCAAACCCTTACATTCAATTCATTCTCACCACTACTTGTAATTTCCCCTTACTCTTCCCCTCAGAGCTATTTCTAGCCCAGGCTTCTACTCTTACCCCTACCATGAAGGTTTTCGTTTAGATGTTCACAAAACCTAGCCACTCAACTGTTTATTCACTTCCCAACCCCCTCTCTCTAACCTTATATTGGGTTTGGTTTCTTACCACACACTCGGCCCTTAGGTATTAGCTGTCTTGTGTTGCCTCCTAATTGTTTTGAAACTGAGCTCTCTAAATAAACTGTTAGCAATCTGAAGCTAGGGACAAGGGTGGATTTACTCGTGTGCTATCTATCAGAGCATACTGGGCAGGCAGCGGATACCTGCAGATGCATCATGTGTGTGTATACATAATAGATATGTATATTATGCATATATGCAGCAGACACCTGCAGATGCATCATGTGTGTATACGTAATAGATATGTGCATTATGCATATATAATAGAGATACAGAGCCCGAAAGTTCCTTAGAAATGAGCCTGGTGAGACTGGCTCGGTTACTTTAGACTCCTCATCTGGAAAGCCCGATGGCTAGAAAAGGACATCAATCTGGTAAAGCAGAGGGTCAGTGAGAACAAGAGGAACCCTCCACGAGAGGGATACAACAGTCACAACAGTGGATTCAAACACACCAAAATTCGTGAAGATTGCACAGGACCAGGCAGTGTCTCATTCTTGTTATACATAAGGTCACCATGAGTTGGAGCTGACTCAACAACTACATAATACATATGTACATACATACACATATACATATATGCATATATAAATATGTATACATGTGTGTGTGTATAAACACATATATATTATACATACAGTGCTCTGGTGGTGCTGTGTTTAAGGCATTGAGCTGTTAATCAAAAGGTCAGCAATTTGAACCCACCAGCTATTCCATGGGAGAAAGATGAGGCAGCCTGCTTCCATGAAGATTTACAGCTTTGGAAACCCTACGGGAGTCGCTATGAGTCAGAATCAACTTGATGGCAATGGGTTTTATATATATTTGGGTTGTCCCACATTCTTTAGATGTGTTAGCAGGAGGGACCAGTCCATGGAGAAAGACGTCATGCTTGCTGAAGGAGCGGGTCAGTGAAAAAGGGGAAGACCCTCCACAAGATGCACTGATGCAGTAGCTGCAACAATGAGCTCAAACACAGCAAAGACTGTTTCCCTCGGTTGTACACAGGGATGCTATGAGCTGTACCAACTTGGTGGCACCAAGCAACATGTCTGTGTATATGTATCTATATAACCAGTTGCCATCATGTTGATTCTGACTCACAGAGACAATATATCTGTGACTTTACAACTGGCTGATGCCAAACCCTGGAGGAGACCAGGCCCGCCCTTCAGCCTACCAGGATGGGGAAAAGAGTGGTCTGCATGGCTGTGTCCTCTTCTGCGTAGGCCAAAATTGTCCTCAAGGATCTTCTCAGATTTCCTCATTAAAGTCTGGTGCTTTGTCCACCAAAGATGCCAGAGACATGGTTACCTGCATCTTTACTCTTGCAAAGTTCTGCACTAGGAAGAAAACGGAACAAAGAAGAGGCACTCAGCTGTTAGATAAGAGAAGATGGTGGAGCCAGACACCAACACCTGCTGATGTTCTCCCACCCCCACACGTCTCCCTCGTTTCCTTTCCTCTCGATGAAATGTGAGCTGCACTCTGCACTGAAGTCAGCTTATTATTTAAATGGATAGAGCTCCGACATAAATTGTGCCTTGTACCGCCAGCTCCCTTTAAATTTTAATTTAGGATTGGGCTGCCTCCATGCTGGAAGGCTGGAATATTCTTACAAAGTTGGGCCACAGGTTTTATCCTTTTGTACCAAGATTCCTCTTCTTGGGGCTCTATTTAAACTTCAGAGAGAAATAGTGCCCCCAGGGAAAGGATTTTTCAGATTCTGGACGACAGGCAAGCAGCCACTTACTCTTCTCCCTTTCCTTCTAGGCTCACAGAAAAATATGGCAATCCCAAGGGTCCCTGAGAAATAGCCAAAGACTTTTAAATAGTCATCCCTGGTATATTCTGAGGTCCTGGCCTTTCTTCCTTGGTCCAATTTATCTTTTACTGTCATTCAAGCACGCTCATAAACATGACCACAAATGGAAATTCCAAAAGAACAGAGCAAAATCTAGACATACAAGAGCAAGGCTGACTGCAGCATGCTGAGTTAGAGGCTGCTAAGCTTTGATGAAAAGCTGGGTCCAGTGAATACTGATGATATAAAATTCTCTTCCACAGGCTACTCTGCTGCCAGCCAGTCAGAATCTACACTATAGGACAACATCTTTAGAATTTTTAGCTTGTCTGTTGTATTTCCCTCCACAGCTGTTAACTTTGCATCTACATAGATTCATTTCCTTCCTACTGAAATATACTGATGGAAACCACTGTAGTCACCATCTTGATACTCACTTTTATAAGGCATTTGACTGCTAACCAGAAGGCTGGCTGTTCAAACCCACCAGCCACTCCTCCAAAGGAAGATTGGGCAATCTACTTCTATAGAGATACCGCCTCAGAAACCCAAGGAGGGTTCATGATGAGTCAAATCGACTCGATGGTAGTAAGATGCAAATTCAAATCAAAGATGCTGTCTACCTCCAAAAAAAACCAAACTCGCTGCCATTGAGTTGATTCCGACTCATGGCAACCCTTCTGGACAGAGCAGAACTGCCCAGAGTCTGTAAATATGTATGGAAACAGACAGCCTCATCTTTCTCCCCTGGACTTGTTGGTGAGTTTGAATGGCTGACCTTTTGGTTAGCAGCCCAATGCTTTAACCACAGTTCTACCTGAGTTCCTTTGCTTTCTACTTAACCAAAAAACCAAACCCAATGCTACTGAATGAGCAACTTATGTGACCCCCACCGGGTTTCCAAGGCTATAAATCTTTATGCAAATAAATTGCCTCATCTTCTTCTCACAAAGCAGCTGGTGGGTTTGAACCTCTAACCTTCTGGTTGGCAATAAAATGCCTTATCCACTACACCACTCACACTCACACTCACTGCCATCAAGTCGGATCCAATTCATAAAGAACCCTCCTTGGGTTTCCGAGGCAGTATCACTAAGGAAGTAGATTGCCCAATCTTCCTTCTGAGGAGTAGCTGGTGGGTTTGAACCTCCAGCCTTCTGGTTAGCAGTCAAATGCCTTAAGCACCACACCACCAGATCTCCTACTACACCACTAGAGCTCCTCAACTTTTTCTTTCTCATGACACAGAAGCAAACAGGAATACTGCAGACTTGGGTTTCTGTTTTCCCTCTGGCTCAGTGCCTGGCCCTATCTCTGACTGTTGACCCCAGGTGCCCAGCGGGTCTGAGCTCTCACGCTGACAGCTCCGAAGCTGAACCTCATGAGTAGGTAGAGGGTGGCACAGGCTTGGCTCCGGGTGACGTCCATGCTGCTGCTGCAGTGGTGCAGCATGCGCTGGCAGAGGTCTGCACACTGCTCCACCTCCTCCTCGAACAGTAAGTCCCCGAACTAGGAGAGACACAGGGACCGTTAGCTGGTGCTCCGCACATCCACCCGCGGGCTGCGTTAGCAGCCTGTTAAAATGTGCAAATGTCTTCGTGGGAAAACCAGAAGCCCAGGAGCTTTAATGCATCGCTCCAGAAACATAACGAGCTACTTGAGTCAGGGGATGAGTTGAAGCAACGGCAATGACTCAGATTTCATTATGAATTGCACAACAGTGAACGTAAGCCAGCTGCTGCTAAGTCAACTCCTACTCCTGAAGACCCCGCGTGTGTCAGAGTAGAACTGTGCTCTGTGGGGTTTTCAGAAGTAAATTGCCAAGGTACCTCTGGATGGACTTGAACCTCAAACTTTTTGGTTAGTGGCCGAGCACGTTAAATGCTGGTTATTAACCTGGTATTACTAGCCAGGTTGTGTTCACTGCCCAATCCACAACTTTGAAGGGATTACCCTCAATTTCCTGGGTCTCCTGGAAATTACTGGTGACTAGAAGAAGAAAGTGGCCTTAATTGCGGAGAGGAAGAGAATTCTACTTTCTATATTTGAAAGATCCCATGTAAAGGGCACAATATGAGGCTTTCAGTAAAGGGGAAAAAGTAATCTCCCTAGTGCATTTTGCCCAATTTATATTCCTTAGGCTGTGGGAGCTCTGGTGGTGCAGTGCCTAAGGCATTTGACTACTAACCAGAAGGTTGGAGGTTGAAACCCACCAGCCACTCCATGGAAGGAAAACCAGGCAATCTACTTTTGTAAAGATTTACAGCCTTGGAAACCCAATTGGGGTCACTATCAGTCAGAATCAACCTGATGGCAGTGGGTTTGGTTTTTGGTTTTAGGCTGTGGGAAGTTTCTTTCTAAACCTCTTGGTACTTTATGATGTGGCATTTTGTAAGACTTACTAATAAGGATCACATGTACGGCTTTCCTAGCACTTGTCATATGTACTGTTAAGCCAATTCCAACTCATAGTACCCCTAGAGGACAGAACAGAACTGTCCCATAGGGTTTCCAAGGCTGGAATTTTTAAGCAAGCTGACTGCCTCATCTTTCTCCAATGGAGCGGCCAGTGTGCTCGAACCGCTGACCTTTCAGTTAGCAGCCAAGCACATGCCCACTGCGCCACTAGGGCTCCTTTCATCACACTTAGAGCTTTAGATGTTAAACAAGATGAAAGACAAAGATACTCAACTGATTTCTATACCCATGTCCTAGACCCTCCGTGAGTGGCCATTTCAAACGTCTACAGCTGGGCCCATGTTTCAGGTGTGAGATCCGCTGCTTTCCCTGCTCATGGTGACTTTCCACAGAATCACTTTCTTCTGGGAAGACATTATACACTTCATACACTCTATGGGGTTTGGCAGCCAGGAGACCAAAGCGTGATACTAGCTGTATCCTAGTCGTAATTAAGAGCCAGGAAACAAAAGTGCTGTGATTACCTTGGCAATGAGCTTGAGTGTTGTGAAACAATGAGTCAGGTAAGCCGTGCTCTGATTGCAGCTCAGAGAGTTCACCAGGACCCTCAGGGCGCCTCTCAGCAGACTATCCTTCCAGTTCAGTGCCGAGCTGGCCTGGGGGAATGGAAGACCAGCATCGAATGGAAGAATCGCACCGTTGATCCCTGCCCTCTACCCTTGGCACCTGTGGTGATCAGCACAGAGAGGATGATGCCCCCATCTCCCAGTCTTCACTATCACCCATCACCCTGGGAGCTGAAGGCATGTTTCCACATGACCTTGTTCCAAAGGTCTGATCTGAGATTTATATCTAATTCTGGGCAATTAAGTTTCACCTCTGCTTGAAAATTGTGAATGCATTTTGAGGACTGAGTTAGACGTTGTTAGTAATGCTACATGAAGATACAATCCATGTGTTGTCAACCATTTAAATTATCAAAGCTATCATATTGTCTTTATTTTTGTATTAAGTACTTTGAGTTTGTTGTTGTTGTTGTTATGTGCCATCGAGTCAAACCTGACTCATAGCGACCCCTCCTTGGGTTTCCAAGGCAGTATCATTACGGAAGTATGATTGCCCAACCTTCCTTCCGAGGAGTGGCTGGTGGGTTAGGGTAGTTTAGACAACTTAAAAGTTGGATAAGGAAGGCTGCACTGTGCTTCAACAGTATTTCTTCTAGCTGGATCCTAGATCAATACTAGATCAACTCTAATGAATGGTTTCTCAATGGAAAAATGTTAATAATTAAGTTGCAATAGGCTCATTTTTCAGTGGAACTAAAAATCCATTATTGCCTAGACTTGGGAGTTTCTGGAAACATCTACTTAGAAGGTAAAATTAGGATGGCAAATTCTGTCATCACAAAGTTCACAGGGACACTATACTTTGCTACAGGCAAACACATGGCACAGATGCCTTCCTGTCCCGGGTTTGTACCTGAAGCAGATACCATCATCATTCAAACGTAGCACTCTTTTTTTTTTTTTTTTTTTAACTTAGCCCAGTCATAGCCTGAGCTCCAAACCAGGCAGGACTGATGGCTGCATCAATCAACTGGAGTGGACCCATCAGAGGAAGCCTATTTGCCTCCCCTGTTGTAGATACTGAACTATAAGCTTACCATCCACATTTTAAGCTTGGCACACACTCTGGTGTATTTAACCACAAGAGCCAGCTTGTCAGGAAACCCTTTCCAAGTGAACAGCAACTCAAAGAAGCCAGAAAAATGTTTGGTATTTCTGGAATCTGTAAGGTGGACGAAACAGCAAACTTCCCAACATCATTTAATAAAACAACACTGGATCACACTTATTTCCTTCACAACCCTGCACAAAGGACTCCTATTAAATTCCTGTAGACGTGTTTTTGTGGAACCAGTTGGCGTTCCTCGCCTCACCTGGATAATATTCTCCTGCATATCCAAGATGATTAAATTCACTTCTGTAGCCAGGTTGCCACTGATCAAGGCCTCTTGATCTAACTCTGCTTTTGATCTAAAAAAAAAAAGAAGTCAAAGTTAAGCGTATATCAAACCCGGACATATTCCGACAATGGCCCTGTATGTACCAGAGCGTAAAGAAATCTCCAGAGTCCGATAGAGCCTGGTGGAACCACTGAGACTATGGCCCCTAGCTGCCCTTCAGGTCTGGAACTGAACACACACCTGTGGTTTCCAGCCAAACAAAAGACAGGCATATGAGTTGAACACTTACCTGAGGTAGATACACTCTTTGGAGAGAACAATCATGAGAGAAAGAAGGGCTGCTTATGCACAGGGATACAGCTCAGGGAGCAGGAGTGCATGGAGGGATGGACACAGGGAAGAGGTAACTACAGGGAGGAAGTGGGAAGAGAACTGTTACAATGAGCGGAATTGCAGTCAATGTCATGAAACAAAATGTGTATGAATGGCTGTATGGAAAATGGGTTTTCTCTATAAACTTTAACCCAAATCAAAATAAAAATTTGAAAAAAAGAAGAGGGAGCAATGTCCTGCTGACACCTTATTTTGGACTTCTGCCTAAGGCACTTGACTGCTAACCAGAAGGCTGGCGGTTCAAACCCACCAGCCACTCCTCACAAAGAAGGTTGGGCAATCTACTTCTGTAGTGATACTACCTCAGAAACCCACTCAACGGCACATAACAACAACAACAGCCTCCAGAAAAAGGAGATCTGTGGTGCTATGGTTAAAACATTATGCAGCTAACTAAAAGGTTGGTGGTTTGAACCCACAGCGACTCCAAGGAGAAAGATAAGTCTGCTCCTGTAAGGATTTACAGCCTTGGAAACCCTATGGGGCAGTTCTACTCTGTCCTATAGGGCCACTGGGAGTTAGAATCAATTAGATAGCAGTGGGTTTGGTTTGCTTTTTCTTTCTTTTATTTTTACTCTGTGAGAGAATACATTTCTATTTATTTTATTTATTATTATTTTTTTTATTAGGATTTGGGTGAAGATTTACAGAGTAAATTCACTTTTCATACAGCAGTTCACATATACTTTGTCTCATGTCATTGACCAAAATTTACAATGCAGCAGCTCCCCTCCCACTTCCTCCCCATAATTACCTCCTCCCAGTGTCCATCCCTTCATACTCTTCTGCACCCTGAGCTATCTCCCTGTGCATAAGCAGCCCTTCCTTCTCCCATGATTGTTCTCTCCAGGGCGTGTGTCTACTTGAGGTAAATGTTTAACTCACATGCCTGTACTTTGTTTGGCTGGAAACCACAGTTGTGGGTTCAATTCCAGACCTGAAGGGCAGCTAGGGGCCATAGTCTCAGTGGTTACACCAGGCTCTATTGGACCAGCAAACCTGGTCCCCACCTTTTTTTTTTTTTTTTCGCCTCCAAATGATTTTGAGTTTTGTTCCACATTGTTCTCCCTCTTTATGCAGGATCTCCTACATCCCTTCCAAGTGGATGGCAGTGGTAGCTGGGCACCATCTAGTTCTTCTGGTCTCATAGTTGTATAGGTTGCAGATCGGATGGTGTACCAGTCGCTAGGACTGATTGTTTCCATTAATTTTGGTTTTCTTCTTTCTTCTTGACGAGGAGAGACCCGTTGTTGCATCTAGATGGCAGCTTCCTAGCTTTTAAGGTCCCAGTCGCTACTCGCCAAAGTAGGAGGTGGAACAATGTTTTGTATAGTATGTTATGCCAATTGAGCTTGATGTCCCCTGCGACTATGGTCCCAAGCCCACAGGATCAACTACTCGGTCCCTCTGGGTAGCTGGCTGTGACCAAGCAATGACCATAACCTTGCCCCTTGTCAGCTCTACTATACACCTGGGAATTCTGATCATTCACATGAACTTATAGGCCCATTGTCTGCCAACCCTATATATGATCTTGGATACACTCCCCATTTAGACATACCTAATTGTTTAGCTTGTTCACCCATCTATCCGTCCCTATACCCATGTTTGCTTTCACTGACAACTCAGTACTGTATATGCAAAAAAATTCATATTTGTTGTCTGTACTGCCCATGTAACTCTCTATGTCTTTCTCATCCTCAGTGCTGCCATATTGGTCACTCACATTTGGTACATTGCCCTTCTCTTCACCCAAATCAATATTTATCTCTATCTGTCTAACAGCATTCCCTCCCCTCCTCTCCCACCCCTGGTAACCAACAAAGAAAATGTCCTCCAATATATAAACCTTTCCTTAACTTTTACAATAACGGACTAATACAATATTTGTCCTTTTGTGACTGACTTATTTCACTCAGCATAATGTCCTCCAAGTTCATCCACGTTATGCGGTGTTTTGCAGATTCTACATTATTCTTTAGCGTTTATTTTAAGCCATTCTTGATGGCAATTTGTTACAGTAGCCCTGGGGGACTAATCCACTTGGTAACAACAAAGATAGGTTATTTACAAAACACCACTGCTGTTCAGCTCTGCCCACTCACCCTCTCCTTAGGGTGTGTTCTTTACAGGATGCCCTACTTGTTCCTCATCCAGTTGGGCGTCCTTTAACCGTACAATTATTTGCTCAGGGAACCCTGAAATTAAAAATGATACCGGCTGTTAACAGGAATAGGAGACTATGTTATCTATTCAAACACATTTAGTTTCATATGTCTTCACATGTCTAAATTGTTGCATATGTGAAATATATATCTATATCTATAGATCCATTGATCCATATATTAGTGTTGTTTTGGGATGGTGTTGATTCCGACTCACAGCAACGCCACGTGACAGAGTGGAACTGCCTCAGAGGGTTATTCTGGCTGCAGTCTTTACAGAAGCACATCACCTGGGCTTTCTCCCACAGAGCTGCTGGGTGGGTCGGAACCGCCAACCTTTCAGTTACCAGCTGAGCACTTAACTATTGTGCCACCAGGGCTCTTTCTATGTATATAGAACATAACATTATTGAAAGCCAAACAGGATTCTTCTTTTCTCATTTCTTACGTCTTTTTCTGATAAAAATACACATCCACTGTAGGAAAAATAGACAAGTGTGAAGAAGAAAACATCACCTACCTATATTCCCAACATTCAGGAAATCCAATTAATATTATCACCAATTTCCTTCTAGACTTTTTTTTAAAAAACTATATATATGTAGTTAGGGACTCAAGATTACCCTGCTGCCACCAACACAATTTTATTAAACAAGCTGACATAAAAATCCCTGACTATCCATATTTATGCACATTTCCCCAGTGGAAGTTTGGATTTGAAAAGCTGTGGTCTTGGCCTGCTTCTTCCATTTGTTTCTCTGCCTCCCCTCCCCCACCAGCTACGTGTGCTAAACTGTTCAAGCCTGCTAAATATTAGTTTTCTGGAAATGTTCATCCGTGTGATAAATGTTAAGCACTGGCAATTATAATTCCTTTGATTATCCTGACCCAGGCTGAATTGCATCTACACTGATAATGATTCTTTACTTTCCCACCCTTGGAAGGATGTTGTTGTTTCAGTAATGCAAGTAGCCTGGGAAGAATTTTGAATTTTAGGTAAAAGTAGCACACAGTTGCTGAGTGTCTTACTTATCTAGCTTCTCATTAGCTTGCCGCCAATGTGTCTGCTCTTTCTTCCATCTCAAGTTCTCACTGAGGCCTGGAAATTGGTCATTCCCTAGAAGTTAAGAAAAGCATGATAGGAATTTGATTAGTGTGAAGCCCTCCCAGATAACCAGAGGTTTCCTAACAAGCTCAAAGGGGATGACTCAGCACTACTCCCCCGCTAATGAGAGGCCAGACAGCAGGCCTGGCGGAGACACAGTCTTCATGCTCATGAACAAACTAGAGCTTCTGAAAAGCCCTGCTCCACCTTTCTGGGGCACCAGGGAGCCCCTTTCTCATGATGAGCAAGTTCCCATGAGACGGTGGGTTTCTCACTGAGCTGTTGGAAGGGAAAGTGTGGGGGTCAAATCAGAGTGCGCCACCACCTCTGAGAATTTGAAGCTCCCTCCGACTTGGAGGCCCAGGACATGGCCCAGGACATGCTGTCACTGTGTTTTAGCTGGAGCTCAGTGAACAGGACTGAAGAGACCTGAACATTTCATTCTATCTACAGTTCAGCCTTTTTCAGATCATTCCTGGGGCTGGAGTCTGCAGGACTGGAGTACACCACCATCATTTGAGGAATGGCTTCCATCCTAACAGCACTCCAAAATGACCTGGCAGATGATCCGGGGACCAGAACTATACACTGTTTTGGCCATAATCTTAATTTTCCAGTTGCAGTTGACTCCAACTCATGGCGTCCCCATGTTTCTCAGTATAGAGCTGCGCTTCATAGGGTTTTCAATGGCTGAGTTTTTGCAAGTAGATTGTCAGGCCTTTCTTCTGAGATGCCTCTGGGTGAACTTGAAGCTCCAACCGTTTTGTTTAGCAGTCAAGCATGTTAACAATTTGCAACACTCAGGGACTACACAGGCTAACCAGACTACTCAAATGGGCCCAGTGAGGCTGCAGCCCTGATAGACCCAACTCTGCCACATCCAATGAGTGAATTAGAAGATGCCCTGTGGGGATATTTCCAGGGTTCCTGGGCTCTTGGGACAGCAGCTCTACCTGGGAACTGTTGTTGTTAGGCACCATCACGTCGGCCCTGACTCGCAGTGACCCTACGTACTACAGAATGAAACTGTCCAGTCATGCCTCACAATCCTTGTTACACCTCAGCCCATCATTGCAGCCACTATGTCAATCCATCCTGCTAAGGGCGTTCCCCTTTTTTGTTGACTCTCTACTTTTCCAAGTGTGTTAGGCTGGGTTCTCTAGCGAAGCAAAACCAATAAAGCTTATAGAGAGAGAGAGAGAAAGAGAAAGAGAGAAATTTATCTTAGGAAAATGTCCCACACACTTATAGAAGCTGGCAAGTCCCAAGTTCTTGGATCAAACATTAAGATGTAGGCTTTTCTTGACTCATGTAGTTGTAGGGGTGGATGAGCTCAAGGTTGGCAGGCAGTATTCCAGTTGTTGACTCCAATGAATGACAAATCTAAGATCACCATGCCGAATGGTGGATTGTTCGCTCATGGACAGTTATAGGCAGCACAATCCACAGAAGAGTGTCTCATTTTCCCAGGATGTCCATAAATATATTGGAAGCAGGCCACACCCCTAGAGAAACTCCCTCTCAACGGATTGGCTGCTCAAAACATATACATCCGATCTTATCATGGGAATAATCCACATCACAACTGCTTAAACCACACAGAATTGTGGTCTAGCCAAGTTGACATACAACTCCAACTATCACACCAAGCATGATATCCTTCTCCAGGAAATGGTCACTTCTTACAACATGACCAAATTAGATGAGACGAAGTCTGGCCATTCTTGCTTCCAAGGAACATTTCTGTTGCACTCCTCCAGGACAGATTTGTTAGTTCTTTTAGCAGTCCATGGTACTCTTACCATTCTTCACCAACACCACAACTCAAAAGCATTGACTCTTCTTCAGTCTTCCTTATTCATTGTCCAGCTCTCACACGCATATGAGGCAACTGAAAATACCATGGCTTGTGTCAGGTGCACCTTAGTCTTCAAGGAGATATCTTTGCTCTTCAGTACTTGAAAGAGGTCTTCTGCAGCAGATTTACCCAATACTATAGAAGCTCTGGCAGCATAGTGCCTAAGGCACTTGACTGCTAACCAGAAGGCTGGCAGTTCAAACCCACCAGCCATTCCTCGGAAGGAAGGTTGGGCAATCTACTTCCGTAGTGATATGACCTTGGAAACCCAAGGAGGGGTCACTATGAATCAGGGTGGACTCGATGGCACATAATAATAACAACAACATATGACATTTGATATATTGACTGCTGGTTCCATTGGTGTTGATTTTAGAACCAAGCAATATAAAGCCTTTGACAATTTCAATCTTTTCTCCATTTATCATGATGCTGTTTATTGGTCCAGTTGTGAGAATTTTCATTTTCTTTATGTTGAGATGTAATTCATACAGACTGTAGTCTTTAAACTTCATCAGTAAGTGCTTCATGTCATCCTCATTTACAGCAAGCAAAGTTGTGTTGTCAGCATATCACCGGTTGTTAATGAGTCTTCCTCCAGTCCTGAAGCAGAACTTCTTCATATAGTCCAGCTTCTTGGATTATTTGCTCAGCATACAGATTGAATAAGTATGGTGAAAGGATACGACCCTGACATGCTCCCTTCTTGATTTTAAACCATGCAGTGTCCCCTTGTTCTGTTCGCATGATAGCCTCTTGGTCTATGTACAGGTTCCTCACAAGTACAATTAAGTCAATTATGGAATTCTCATTCTTCTCAATGTTATCCACAATTTGTTACGACCCACACAATCTAATTCTTTTGCATAGTCAATAAAACAAAAGTAAACATCTTTCTGGTATTCTTTGCCTTCAGCTAAGATCCATCTGACATCAGCAATGATATCCCTCGTTCCATGTCCCCTTCCGAATCCAGCTTGCATTTCTGGAAGTTTTTGGTCAATATACTACTGCAACCATTTTTTAATTATCTTCAGTAAGATTTTACTTGCATGTGATATTAATGATATTGTTTGATAATTTCCACATTCTGTGGGATCACCTCTCTTTAAAATGGGCACAAATATGGGTCTCTTCCAGTCACTTGGCCAGGTAGCTGTCTTCCAAATTTCTTGGCATAGCCAAGTGAGTGCCTCCAGTGTAGCATCCATTTCTTGAAACATCTCAGTGGGTATTCCATCAATTCCTGGAGCCTTGTTTTTTGCCACTTCCTTCAGTGCAGGTTTGACTTTTTACTTCAATACCATTGGTTCTTGATCATATGCCACCTCCTGAAATAGTTGAATATCAACCAGTTCTTTCTGGTTCAGTGACTCTCTGCATTCCTTCCATCTTTTTTTGATGCTTCCTGCATCATTCAATATTTTGCCCATAGAATCTTCCAATATTGCAACTTGAGGCTTAAATTTTTTCTTCAGTTCTTTCAGCTTGAGAAATGCCGAGTGTGTTCTTCCCTTTTGGCTTTCCAACTCCACATCTTTGCACATTTCATCATAATAATTGACTTTGACTTCTCAAGCTGCTCTTTGAAATCTTCTATTCAGCTCTTTTATTTGCTTTAGCTACTCTTCATTCAAAAGCAAGTTTCAGAGTCTCTTCTGACATCCATTTTGGCCTTTTCTTCCTTTCCTATCATTTTAATGACCTTTTGCTTTTTTCATGGGTGATGTTCTTGATGTCATCCCACAATTTGTCTGGTTTTCAGTCACTGGTGTTCAGTGCATCAAAGAATCTATTCTTCAGATGGTCTCTAAATTCAGGAGGGATATATTCAAAGTCTGGTAGCATAGTGCTTAAGGCACTTGACTACTAACCAGAAGGCTGGCAGTTCAAACCCACCAGCCACTCCTCAGAAGGAAGGTTGGGCAATCTACTTCCGTAGTGATACTGCCTCAGAAACCTAAGGAGGGGTTGCTATGAGTTGAGTCCGATTCGATGGCAAATAACAACAACAACATATTCAAGGTCATATTTTGGCTCTTGTGGACTTGTTTAATGGTCTTCAGCTTCAAGTTGAACTTGCATATGAGCAATTGATGGTCCATTCCACAATCAGCTCCTAGACTTGTTTTGGCTGAAGACACTGAGCTTTTCCATCACCTCTTGCCACGGATGTAGTCAACATGATTCCTGTGTATTATGTCTGATGAAGTCCATGTGTATAGTAGCCATTTGTGTTGTTGAAAAAAGGTATTTACAATGAGTAAGTCATTGGTCTTGCAAAATTCTATCATGCGATCTCTAGCATCATTTCCATCTTTGTTTCCAGCTTTCACATTCCAATCACCAGTGACAATCAACACATCTTGATTGCACTTTTGGTCAATTTCAGATTGCAGATGTTAGTAAAAATCTTCAATTTCCTTATCTTTGGCTTTGGTGGTTAGTGCATAAAGTTGAATAATAGTAGTATTAACTAGTCTTCCTTGTAGGCATATGGGTATTATCCAGCATTGTACCACAGGATAGATCTTGAAACTTTCTTTGTGTCGATGAATGCCTTCATTCCTGGCAGAGTAGATGATATGGTTGTCTGATTCAAAATGGCCAAAACCATCTCAGCTCACTAATGCCTAACATATCCATCTGTTCCAGTTACCTAGTGTCACTCTGACAAAAATATACCTCTAATGGGATGGCTGAACAAACAGAAGTTTATTCTCTTACAGTTTGGAGGCTTTAAGTCTGTGTTCAAAGTGCCAGGCTCTAGGGGCTGGGTGAAAGCCCCTCAACCTTGGGCCTCAGTTCTGCTTCCTGCTCCTGGCCCACTGAAGCTGGAGGCTTTCTTCACTCAGACAGCTGCTGGCTGCTGAGGCTGACAAGCCCAAGGTTGACAAGTAAAAAGGTACAGTCCCGATGTTACCAAACCACACAGCAGGCCATTAATTCAAGTCCACTGAAGTCCCAAGGTTGGTAGAGCATGGCACGCTACTGAACAATGACACAGCTACATGCAGGGTTCAAGCATGCCATAAGCTAGAGACCATTCCCAAAGCTGTTTCTTATATACAGGAATCAGACCACATACCCAATGTAGCTACTCAGCTACTCCAATACATTACACCATGGAGTTAATTACCAGTCTCACCATGGGGATTAACTACATTCAGCTGCCCAGCCACTCAACCAGGCGCAGCCAAGTTGACACACAAATGTAACCACCACACGATTTTTCTGTGTTCCATTTTATTTATGACAACTTCCAATTTTCCTACACTCATCATACTTCGTACATTCCATGTTCTGATTATTAATGGATGTTTGCAGCTGTTTCTTCCCATTTTGAGTAGTGTTATATCAGCAAATGTTGTTGTTAGGTACCATCAAGTTGGCTGTGACTTATGGTGACGCTATGTACAAC